ATAGATAGATAGATAGATAGATAGATAGATAGATAGATAGATAGATAGATAGATAGATAGATACATACATACATACATACATACATACATACATACATACATAGATAGATATATAGATAGATAGATAGATAGATAGATACACAGACAGAAATATAGATAGATAGACAGAGATATGGATTGATAGACAGAAATATAGATTGATAGACAGAAATATAGATAGATAGACGGAAATATAGATAGATAGACAGAGATGTCATGGAGATATAGATTGATGGAATATGAATAAATAGATAAAGATATAAAGATATAGTATAGATTAAAAATATAAATAAATCGATATAAATAAATAGATGGAGATTGACAGATATAGATCACTGGAGAGAGATAGATACATAGAGATAGAGATGGATAGATAGATAGATACATACGTAGGCCTACATGCATACATACACAAACACACACATGCACACACACACACACACACACACACACACACACACACACACACACACACACATCCTTTATGTGGATGTCAACATTTCTTTCTGTTTTGAGTTTAGTATGTTTATAGAAATCTTTTCAGAAGTGTAGATTTCGGTCTTTGTGGTTCCCAAATGGCTCGGTCTGATGGGTTGGTTATGTGTTCTAGGAAATTGACTAAAATAGACGTCAGTGAAGGCAGTGGCCTTTTTTCTCCCAGAAATTGTTGTGATGTAAATTTAGGCTAAAACTGTTGACATTGTGGCTGTATTGTTTGAGTCTTTGTGGTATAAAACTGGTCTGACAGATTATTTTTTTCTTTCCAAATGTCTTGCACAATGTACAGGGTAACGGTGCTGTTGGGGGTGATCAGTTAAACAACAAAGATGGAGTCAAAGGAGATGGAAAGCCAATGTTGCAGGCAAAGAGAGGAATACAGACACATCCTGATGGTATGTACCCAAACCTGAAGAGAATAACTGGTAACAAGGAATTATAGGTGCCTTGTCTAAGATGATGGAAGAGTTACCCATTGTTGTTGAAATGTTTGTACGGCCCTAGCTCAGATGTAAAATCAAAAGGCTTATTGTATTGCAAGTGCCGTAAAACTCTTACTAAAAGTAAGAATTAAAAGAGGATCGAATTGACTCTTTAGTCTTATACAAAAGGGAATTTGGTGCCGTACATTGCATGAGTGACGTGTCAAGAATCTTATTATATCTACTCTTCAGCAACGAAACTACATTTATACAAAATGTCTCTCATTCATCAACTTTTTTCACATTCCCATGTGCCCACGCAAATGGAATAGTTATTTGGTTTTGGGTATATATTTTTGCACACTTGTCCACACTCACTGTCATGTTGCCAGGAAAATTTTTAAGTTGTTTTTTTTTTTCCTCAAAAATGATTTAGTCGTTAGTCAAGACGCGGTTTTTTTTTTTCTTTTCTTTAATGAAAATTGTATTTGTTTTCATAAATGAATGTTTCTACCATGCAGACTTTTAATCGAGTGTTTTCGTTTTCTTAATTTGTTCAACCGTCCATGAGGGTCTGTACTCCCCTGTGGCTGGCGATCTCGTCTGTAGGATTATCTCAGAGCCAGTCTTGATTGGGTGGGTAGTTTTTTTTCTCTCTGGCCAAAGCCTGGTTTTGGCGTTCACAAGGTTAATGTTTGTCTTTCTGTAGGCACGATATCCAACATACCGTCTGGCATGGTCATGGATCAGTTTGGCATCGTGGGGCTTCTGTCTTTCATCCGAGCAGCAGAACAAGATGCGAACATGGTGGCATTAGCGCCTGGCATAGACCTGACCACTCTGGGCCTCAACCTTAATTCCCCCGAGTGAGTTCTGCTCTATCACACTCTCTCCACTGTCCTCCTGCTGTCTCTGGACCAGGGTCTCCCAGTGCCTTTCATCCGTCTCCTTTACCTCTCTTCTTTCTCTCCCCAAGTTTTCTCATGTATGTTTGTCACTCCCGCAGTCTCTCTCTCCTCTCTCTCTCCCTCTTTCTCTATTGTATTTTTCTCCAGTCTCTCTCCTATCTTTCTATTGCATTTCTCACCTTCATCTTACCCTTTGTGTTTCTTCCCCTGTCTCTCCTTGTGCCTCTCACTTTTCTTTATCTGTCATGTCTCTCTCCTCTCCTTCCCTTGTATTTCTCACCTTTCTCCCCTATATCTCTCCCTTGCGTTTCTTTTCTCTTCTCACCCACTTTCCCTCTGTTGTCTCTGTCTGTCTGTCTGTCTGTCTTACTTTTTCCCAGCACTAAATGACCATTATTGTGGCGGTATGCTTCTCTTTACTGAAACAAACAAAACTGCTCTTGCCCATCTCTCGCATGTTTCTTTCAATGTTTTTCCTACTTGTGTGTGCATTTTACATCTTGTCTTTCACCTGTGGGAAATGTTTCTCTCCCCTGTCTTTTCCCATATCATTCACATGTTTTTCTCTTTGTGTTTTTTGCTTTCTTCATCCGTCCATGTGTCTCACACCTAGTTTCCTCCCAAGTCTCTTCACCTCTCCCTCATGTCTCCACCACAGAATGTCACTTGTCGTCCTGTCAATGACTGTTGATGTTTCCTCATTTCAGGAATCTCTACAGCATGTTCCAGTCGCCTTTTGCTGAGTCTGCGTGCCGTCCTCAAGATATAGGCAAGTTTTTCTAAATGCTGTTCATGACTTCATTTTTCGACCAATTCTGTGACTTTTAGGTGGCGTGGCTCAGCTCCCCGGCTCAGGGTCAGGAGCTAATTAGCCCTGAGGTAACTTTGTCAGTGTTGGTGAAGAAGTTGGCATTTTTGTCAACTTTTGAAACAATGCAACTTTTTCCCCATCAAACACTGCAAACCATTACACTGATGTACAAAAAGCTCACAATGTCTTGAGATTTATTCTGTGTGGAATAGTTATTTTCTTTGTCTTGGTTTTTGCTCTGGGCAAGTGTTTGTAGAGTACCCAATTTGTCCTGTTTTTAATTTCATACGTTTGAATAAATGATTGTGTATTTTAAAACGGCTAGAAAGATCTCTCCAAATTCTGTGTTAAACTGACTGAGAAATATTATTTTTTACCATTAGAAATCTTGAATCTGGGCAGGTAGTCATAGTCAAGTAATAAAAGAAGAAAGATGCACATCTGCATTTTTTTACAAAATACAATCAGCGTTGGTCTTGCTGTACCATTAAATACACAACTAAAATTCCACCGCTGGTGCACCTTGAGTTGCACAGGAGACTGATGCAGGCAGTGAATTTTGTCATATGCAGTGCCTTACCTGAATTTTTATCTTTGAATCAGTTAAATGAATGTACAGTACCAACAACATTATGTCAGAGAAATATTTGGTGCTCTTATATGAATTACTTCTTCTTTCCTATCAAACATCTATCGTCCTTGTCTCTCCTCCTTCTTAATTGTGTTTTTTACGCTCTAGTAACACCTCTAATCTTTGACATTTATATGACCTTTTGTTGCAAGGGCTATAAGACTCTTACTAAAACAAGAGAAATATTTTAGAATTGGGGCTCATAAAAAAGTATATGTAGTGAAAAAAGATGGTTTACCTGCTCATTTAGAGCCTTGTACTCTCTATTTTCAAAGTTTACATTCCAGTGATTATATGGTTTTGAGGTTCTTGTGCCAACCATGTATCTTATCCCCCCTGGAACTTTTTGTTCATTTTTGCCTTAAAGAGATCAAGTAATTTATAACAGGTTTGTTGACCTGTCAGTGAAAAGTAAGCAAACTGAAGTCAAATGTTTGTAAGCAATTTTAGATTTTGTGGAGTTCATTAATTATGAAATAAAATCAAATACCGTAAAATTTCTTTGTGAGTACTCAAAGGTTTTGCCAGAACTATGAACTTGAGTTGTCTTAAAATATGTTGGGGGGGGGGGGGGGGGGGTTGTGAACGGATTTCTGTGTTTGGTTTTTGTTTATGTCCTCCTAGTAATTACAGTAAGGTCACACAAGCTGCTAGATGTGCACTGATAACTGATCCTTTGGTAGCTCTAGTCATTATGTGAGAGAGACTATTATGAAACAAAGCTGCCTTTCTCTTGTGTTGTATGACGAGTTTTCTGGGCCCTTCTTTTCAGATTATCACGTGCCAGCCGAGTATTTGACCAACATGTTCATCCGAGATAAGGTAAGTGTTTTCTCCCTCTTTTATCAAGTACCCATATCTCTGTATGTCTGCTTGGATGTTGTTTAGCATTGACAATCAAAGCAGCTCACCTCAATCCTAAATTATTTAAGTTGTATTGATCTCTCCGGACTAGTGTTATTTTTATCTGTCTTGCTGTTCTCCACTCTACTCCATCTATGTCAGTATGGCTGTGGGCGTCTTTTCGACACAAGCAGAACATAATTGTGCAGTGTCAACTCAGTTGATACCCCCCCCAAATAGACCCACCTCTTCGTGGTGGGGGGGATTAGTACTCTTCGAATAGGAAAAGAAAAAAAGTAAGCTAACGGGTCAAGGGGTGACCCCGAAAACAGACATATTACTTTACTATGTATCTAACTCTTTCTAATTATTGTTTTTATTGTTTTACTTTATTACATTTATTAACTTTTCTTTTCTCCTCTCTCCATCGACAACCTTTCTTTGACCTGGAGTTGGGACGGGTATTGGTAGGGTGGAACGCAGGGGTTCATTGTCAGCACTGTACTGGATGTGACTTTACGTAGGGAATACCCAGCTACATACATGTATTAAGCATGCACTTATCGGAGAGCCCTATGACTGCGGAGAAGGTGCAGAGACCATTTGCGTCTTGCTTGTTGACAACATTAACCCTCTGGGATCTGCCATGCCTTCCCCTGCCCCCATCTCTCGGATGAGAGGACTTGGTTGCTCTTTGAGGGGGGGGGGGGGGGATCTTACTTCCAATTGGTATTATTATTACTATTAGTATTATTATTATTATATTATAATTTTTGTATTTCAGCAACACACAGCAACTATGCTCTTAATAGCGTCTTTCTCTTCTTTATTTCCTCAAACAACTTCTCAATATTATACAACAGACACCAACATACCCATTCATTTTTCTTACAATTTCTCTGTGATGGAGTGGGGTTTTTGTTTGTGGCATTGCACCTACAGCCACTGCTTTATATCCTACCCCGGGATGGAAGGAAAATCGCAGAACCACCAGTTTTAGATGCTACTCACAAATGATAAAATACCATACGAGCTGAGACGCCACCTCGGTAATCAAGGTCTCCTACAGGTCTTAGTGGGCAACCAGGCTGGCCTGGTGGATGGTTATTGGAAGAAAAAGAAAATCAAAAAGCAGAGAAAATGGAAAAACAAGAAGAAAACACCCCCTACAACTGGTAACGGAAAAGAGAAGCTTATAGACTTCAATATTCTTCAAGCAAATGTCTGTGGCTTGGACAAGAAGAAAGCACAATTGGGGAAAGTTTGTATGAAAGGAAAGTCCACATTGCTCTATAACAGGAAACTCTCCATTCATCCTGTGACATAAACATCACTGGGTATACCCCTTATCCATGTAAATGTGAAGGTTGCCAAGGGATTATAACCTATATCAGAAATGACATCCAGGGTGAAGTAGAGCTCCTTAATTGGCACCCCACAGACGCACATAAGGTCACCCTGTGGTATGGCAACAGCAAGTTCATACTTTATAACATCTATTGTCCCCCAAGTAACACTCTGAATTTCATATAACAGTATTATCTTTAAGAAGACGGTCATAGCTGGTGACCTTAATGGACACTCCCCTCTTTGGGGCTATGCTGACCAAAACAACACAGGTAAGAGGATTGAAGAACTACGTCAGTCCATTGAGCCATTAGAAACTCGAAGAAAATGGGCAGCTTTAGAAGTATATGAAAGATCTAAAAGGCTAGAAAATAACCACCCTAATAGAATCCTTGTTGACAAGTGGAAACCTAATCAAAGACTAAAATATACAAATTCTGTACTTGACACTGTTTTCGATCTCCAAGAAAAACATCACCTCCCTGAAAGACGAGAACCTCTGGAAAGAGTTCCCTCAACTCTCCCACCACATTTCACCATAGCAAAGCCAGAAGTTAGGAAAACACTTTTGGACAAGAGCAATAAAAACACATATACTGTAGCACTAAAACATTCTGCCCTTGAAACAATTGATTCCTATCCACCAACATGGATCTACTCATATACTGATGGATCTGCCTTTAAGGCAACAATCAACGCTGGAAATGGGTCAGTGATCAACTTGCCCAGTGGGATAAAAAAAAGAAGTCTTCAATTCCAGCGGGTCCTTCTGCTCCAATTTCATTGCCAAACAACAGGCTATCACCAACACAGCAAACTACATCAACTACTTGTTTATAATAACCCACTTGCTACCACAGACATCGTTATCTTTACAGACAGCCTTTCAACACTAGAGACACTTGTGAGTGGGACTGATGTGAACAAAGATATATTGCACTTGATTTGGAGTCTACATAATTTGATAAGTAGGCACCACGTCAGAGTAGTCCTACAATGGATTCCTGCCCACACTGGGATACCGGGAAATGAAAGAGCTGATGCTCTGGCAAAGAAAGGAGCTAGCCTCCCTCAGCCGGAAATTCCTACGAATTACACCACCTGCTGCCAAATGATCAAGTGAAACCTCAAGGAAGAGTGGATGAATGATTGGGCCACACAGGAAGGAGGATGTATGGCCACATGAATAAACCACTGGTCAAAGATCCAATCAATGAGTTGAGGAGGGGAGATCAATCCATAATCTTCCAACTTAGAACACAACATGTACCCCTCAAGCAACATCTCAACCGAATTGGAGTAAAGCAGTCTGCTGCCTGCCCACTATGTGACTACCCCTCAGAGACAGTGGAACATCATCTGTTCTTCTGTAGAAAACTAAATGATTTAAGGGGATGTTTTCTTCCCAAGCTACCCCACACATCTAATTGCCTCTACTCCTCAAGACAGCAATTAGAACAGACATGCAGCTATTACCGAATGGCATCATGCAGAAGAGTTAACGCTCAGATGCTACTGGATCGCTAACAACAACAACTCAGTTGATACCATGCTTGGCGCTGTAGTGCAGTTTTCTCTAACAGGAGTCCCCAATGATGCTTTCTTGCACTTGGAATGTTTGGAGAATTTTGGAGGTTTAGTATCCTCTTGCTTCAGTTCTGTTGGAGATGGAAGTTAATTTCAGAGGTCCTGCTTTTTCTTCCTGTTTGCATTCTTTGTTAACAAGGGCGACCCATTTATTTTACTTACTGTACACTTGGCAATCTCTTGCTGTTCACATTCTCTTGTGCTCAATGGGACACAGAGGTCAAGGGTGGACCACAAGCAATGTAGACCAACAACGCCAAGGCATGGAATGTCCTAAATGTGACCGAGTGCATGATGGTAGTTACTGACCGAAAGCAATGGGTGGTCATTACATGTCAACCTCTGTGCTAGAGATGACACCTCTAGGTATCCAGATGCTCAGTGGAAGTGAAAGAAACTTCCAATTACTGACACCACCACACATTCCTCACTAGAAATAAAAACAAGATTACTGTTCTCCAGCCACTTTTGGTTGGATTTAAACTTAAGGCATCTATGGCTGCACCTTTTATTGGCTGGGTTGAACAGGAAAGGGTTAGATAACATTACATAGATTAGAATTTTTACTCCACATATCAAGTCCTGGTTCGAGCCTCAGTTGAAACACTGATTGTTTTCGCCCCCTCCTGCCCACCTGTAATGGGTACCTGACTTCGAGTTGGGGAAGTAAAGATGGCATGGAAAGGAACTGGCCACCCTACCACAATATGCCGAAGGCCGAGGAAGTGGTCTCACTAACAAGGCAGTCCCCAATGTCCGGATTGGATGCGGGAACAACTTTACTTTACTCCGTGTGTCGGATCCACTGAAGCATCAGCAAGACCACCGTGTTGTATAATTTATATTGAATTGCACCTGAACGTTTCATATGAACTACTGCGCATTACCGTTTGTCCCACTGTCTTCCCCTCCAGCTGGCTCCCATCAAGCTGAACCGTTACAGTGAGGATCTGCTCTTCTACTTGTTCTACATGAACGGTGGTGATGTCTTACAACTTGCTGCTGCTGCGGAATTGTAAGTCTGATGATTTGATGATGGGTTTTTGTTGTTTTGTTTTGTTTTGTTTTTTATTTGAGGACTGGGAGTTGTTTTTTGTTGTTTTTTAATAGATCGGGTGCTCTTTGGCATGTAGTGATATGTGTCTCGATTTATACTATGAAAAACTCTTGTCTGTTGTAGAACAGATCATCTCTGCTTTTTAGTTTACAGTGAGATTTTTCTTTGGGTTACTGTGTTATGTAAAGGACAGGTGTTTCTTTGCCCTGAGGGGGGGTGGGGGGGGGGAGATTGCTTCTTCTGTGTTTAATTGTCATGATGATCAATTTGCGGCTTCTTTTTGTCTGTTTTGCCTTACATCATGAATGTGTGTCTGTGTGCACTTGGAGGAAGGTCCCATTTGTTCAAAATTTTAAATTTTGAATTTATGGTAGAAAATTCAGTGCCAGAGAAGCTGATTTTCTAATTTTATGGATAATTTGAATAGTTTTAAGGATATACAGTTGTCTCTGCCTAAGATCGCGGTGCTCGTGAGCAAGGAAAATGCGGGATCTTACATGAACCGCGATCTTAGCCGACGAACACAGGAAAGAATCTATGGTGACCCATGTTAAGGCTCACAATCTGTAAAATGGTCTCCGTCCACTCTAAAATGAACCGACTTGACCCTGGGTGAGTTTATGACATATGGCGAGCAAAGACTAGTTAACGCATTACACCTTAAGTCGCCCGGGGCCGCCCGAGAATTCCCTTACGCGCTCAACCCTGACTCGCTCGGAACCGCCTGCGCCGATCTAGCTTCTTTAGAAACGAAGTCTCGCCTTGACGAGACTCTGGGGCTGAGATTTTGATTTGCATAGTTATTGCAAAAAGTTTCTTGTTTCGTTTGATACCGAAATGAAATTTTTCGGGCTAGTAGTTTTAGTATTAGAGCCGAACAAAGTGCGATCGCATTACCGACACTTCAAAGGTGTCTCGACTTGTCGAAAAGCGACACAATTGGGTTCGAAAAAGGAAATAACGATGGATTTGAGCAAAAACAAGCGTATGACAAATCAGATGACTCAGATTTTGATGAAAACGTTGTAGCACGAGTTAGGGGCGATTCCGATTGATCAGACGTAGAAAATCTAGAATTTAGATCTAGGGCCCGACTGCGAGGCTGAGAGTGAGAGTGACGGGTCGGACACCCAGATTGAACTAAACTTAGAACTTTTCCAACAGTTCGCGCATTCATAAAGTTATATTTTTCTGAAACTACATTCATTTTTCATTTTAACTATTATTTTTTCAGGATTTTTAGAAATTGTTTAGTATTTTTAAAATGTGTTTTTTAAAGGCTTGTATTCACGGGAGGTGGGTTCCTTCCTGTCCAGACCCTTAGGGTGTAATGTGTTAACCTTGATGACTTATCACAGTGCATAGTTGCCATTTTCACTTTTTATCCAATCATAAGTCTATGCTTATATATTTGCCCCTCCCCTTTACCTGTCGAAAATTTACAGCTTTACTACTGTACTAGATTTTGTACAAGATGTAAAGCCTAATTTTGAGAAAAACAGCTCCAGTTTCCTGTACTACAATAAACATATGAGGTTCAGATGGACAATATCAAGGGTTACTCAAGGAATGAATGTATTCATGTGCACAGCGATGAATATGTAAAGGAGTTCATGTTTAACATTTTAGTATCCAACATTATAGGGTTTAATCGATAAATAGTGCTGAAATGAAACCAAAATAACAGGCATATTAAATATTGAAATACATGTGTAAAATGTTGGATTTGAAATTAGAAATAATTCGCGTTGAAACCTATTTCATTTGTTTTGTTCTTCTATCTATTCCAATTTTTTTTGGCTGGGGGTCTAAGGTACCGAAACACCCGTAACTTTGCAGAGACAATAAACCATGATAAACTGAAGGTTGCCCGATAGATGTACACTCGCTATCCTTGCATCACCTTGCATCACTTTCTAGGCCTAGATCTATACTCATTGTCTAGGCCTATTGATGTGTGTGATAAACATAGGCAAAACCAGTGCCTCTTTTTAGCCTGCAATCATCACATGTGCGTTCCCAGGTCTCGTATCTGTTTCGCTATCTCGAAGCAAGTGACACTTGATGATTTGCATTACTTGAGGGTTGCAAGTAAAGGTTTAAATGACATTAAACTAAATTCTTTTTGGTTTAGAAATTAGAGCATTTAGACTAATCAATAGTTTACCTACGAAGACGAAGAAGAAAAGAAACGTTGCAGATTTTCCTTATTTTGTGTGTTGACCACTGTTTTCAAATTAAATGTATTCAGTTTATGTGGAATCCACTGTTTATACCCTTGTGCCTGTTGGTACTGTCTATCATGGGTAATGGTGTAATCTGACTTTCTTTCAGGTATAGCAGGGATTGGAGGTACCACAAGGAAGAGCGGGTCTGGCTGACACGAGCACCACAGTACGAAGTCTTTGGAAAGACATCCACATCAGAGAGGGGGACCTACATATTCTTTGACGCCAACAACTGGCGGAGGAATGCGAAAGAGTTCCACCTGGAGTATGACAAACTGGAAGAGCGGCCAGTGATTCCCAGCTACAGCTTCAACCAGATGGGGAGTGTGGGACACTAAGGTGGGGTTGGGGGGGGGGGGGCAATTTCCAGTCTTCAGAGTCTACTGTCACGTGTGTGGAATAGTCAAGCTGATGTCTGCTGATGTTCCAGAAATATCGCCAGATATTCGTGGTGAGCTGAGGAAGTAAATGCTCTGAAAATGAAAGTCACGTTTTTGTTTCACAGGTGTATGAAAGAGTGGATAGTCATCAGAAAGTCAGGACATGCGAGATGGGGTAAGAGTGGAGAGGTCAAAACTGTTGTGGATACGGAAGAAATGACATGGTTGGGTACAGAGAATTACCCTCTCTGAGATTCAGTGGATTGATCAAAGACCGTAATTGTTCTGTTCTTTACTCTCGGCCAATGCCACGCCCAAGGTGATATGGAGCTGTGTGGTAATATGCAGCCCATTGTGTAGCTGATTTGATTACTGGATCTACAGCAAGCTGGTGGGTTTCCTGTGAAAAGACTTGTGTGCTCTTTCATTTCACTGTGGTTGTGTTTAAAACTTGATAGGTTTGGAGCCAGTTTATATTGCTGTGAAATGGGATTGTATTTTTTGCCCTCCGCTGTATGCTTGATATTGTTCGTCTTCATAGAGTGGCAAAATATTTTACATGAAAGTGAAAGCAGCACTGTGGATGCGTAGACATGTCGAGGATTTTGCTTCGGGTAGTGTGAGATGTTATTTTAAATAGCAAATGTCACAGTTTTAAGTATGGGCACACCTTTCTGTCACCTCACAGCCCCAGGCCAAGAAAGTCGTACTGCTGTGTGAATATTATTATGATAGATTTTTAGGTTTTGTTACAGGGTATACATGTGACAGTAGGTACAAGTGATCATGAGTGAGCTGACTTTTGCTCTTCATAAACCGATATCATCAAGGTACAGTAGTCTCCACCTAAACGCACAGTGCTCGGGGGGGGGGCTTTAGCGTGTGTTTATACGGAGCGTGCGTTTACCTGAACCTGTGCAAAGGGAGGAAGGGACGCAGTCATCTCAATTCCTTGATATTATATTTTAGTGACCTCCTTTGGGGAGTGGGGGTCACTTTGGCCGATAATGTGATGACACATGACTGTTTTGTGAATGATTCCCCGACTGCAGTTAAGAATACAAAGGCGTGGGGGGGGGGGAACCAGACTCAATGTCATGATATGCACTATAAAATGTCGGGAACAGATAGCCTAAGAGGATACTGTTTGTGATAGTGATAGTCATAGAGATGACGGAGAAGCCACGTGGCTTTCCAAGCGACCATACCCCGACCGTAAATTCATGGACGACATCAGAATCGTAGGTCTCGACATTGAGAGAAACATTTTTCTTGCGATTCGTTAACACTTTGCCACCTCATCTCGCCAATTGGCGATGTTTACCAAGTTTCTTTGGATTTTCCCCAAAATATGATTGCAAAGTGTTAAACAAGTCCATTATAAGTTCTTTTGGAGCGCAGCTGATTAGACTTACTTGACTAATCTTTAATCTTATAGAGGCCTATCTTGTGTTTTACAGCATTCATGCGTGTTTCGCATCATAGGCCTAGATCTAACTAAACATTACATGCGGTCACCCAAACACCAGTCAGAAACCTTCTCTCAAAGATGTATTTCCAGTGACCAATCAAAAAACTTTTCAGTCCCCCTATGTGTCTCTGGAAAGTTGGGTGTGAAAACGCTGTCCCTCACTCTTTGTTCGGCGTGAGGGGCAGTGTCATCAAATATCCGGTTTTCTAGGCTTGTCATATATGCAAGCTGTGTAGGCTGCAGCAAAAATTTCCCTTTGTCCAGCTTTTCCTGTCAGTGTGTTTCGTGGATAGGAGCGTGTGTTTAGAGGGAAAGGCCGTGCATTTGTATGTCTAAATTATAAAGTAAAAAAAACGTCATCACAAAAGCTTGCGTTTGGGCAGATCTTTCTTTTGTATGGCGTGCGTTTAGGCAGAGACTACTATACAAAGTGGTACAGAACCAGGACATCAGTTAGGGCAAAATGCAGTTCAGTCATTGATGTGGTTGTTGTTGACAATGGGAGGACTTTTTAGGATGTGACTGGTGGTGAACAGAAAGTGTTTTTTGTCCAGTGTGAATGTTGGAAATGAATGTTGGAGACAAATATGGGCTTCTTGCAAAGTTTGAGTGGTTTTCTGTGCTGAGATTTTTCTCTCTGATCCACTGTTTACAGCTCTGAATATAATCAAAACAGGGTTAAGAATCAGACCTGTTGGTTTTACCTAAGAAGGAACAAGAATACAAGATTTTAAAAAAGGAGAAAAAAGTTTTCATTGGAAATCCTTAACTGACAACCTGTAGAAGTCTTGAGTTTCCCATTGTATATGATGTAAAGAAGACGCTCAGATCTCTACTAATTGAAATAAATAAAGCCTGAGGTTGAGGACATTTAGTTTTTTAGCCATCCCATTGTCTGTGCACGTAGACTTGAAAAATGTGTTCCCTCATCATAGGAGACAGGAATTAAAGCCTGGGAGGGGGGGGGATGTTGTTGAAGTTGAAGGTGTGCAAGTGTAGTAAGAAAAAGTGTTGAATCACGTACTTTGTTCTGTTGATCCAACTTGTGTTCAGGGTTTGACAGAGTTAGACGTGAATGTTTTTAGAATGAGTGCTGAATAAATTTGAGATGTTGTTTATTGGAGTACACAATGAGTTCTCTTGCTTCATTTATCCTGTCTTTTTTGTACATGTTTGCAGATTTTTAACATTGTAAGTGGGTGGTTGGCAGTACTCCCGGGCCCAGGTAAACCTTCCCAGCAGGTGGTTGCCGGCCGGGTGCACTGATGTAAGTGCTCCTTCTTTTCTATCAAACATCTATCGTCATTTTCTCTGGAAATCTTTTATTTCTTAATGGTTAAGTTTTTCATCGTTGCAAACTGATGCAAGATCAATTTCCACAAGGAGAAATATATATTTATCAAGAATTTCAGTGTGCTGCCCGGGATGCTGTTCGCATTCAGTCCAGGTTGCGTCGGACAGGCCAGATCAAAGAAGCCTGCCTCTTAAGTAATCCAAAATGTGTCAACGGGGGTGTGTTAAAGAATTTGATGGGGATTGCAAGCAGAAAGGCACAATGTTGATGCAAACACATGCATCATGTAAATATGTGTACGGATTTTATATTGGTCCTGGACTATTGTGCTAAAGTATTTGATTTGATTCTAGGATCGTGCAGGTGTGGTCCGTCCATAAGTTGGAATTCTACTCTCTGGTCTTTCTTTACTTTCTTCTTCTTTGCGTTCCTTTGCTAATACTCGGGGGTACTCAACTCTGGTTCTTCAACCTTCACAGCAACTGATTTAAATTATGTATCTGACCACATTCCCTAATTAACCCTTTGAGCCCAAACCACTGATACACCAGAGGCACGAAGAAATAAAACTACTGGTATATCCAGCCCCATCCCCAACCCGGCCTATCTGGGACAAAACTCACATGAGAAACCGTGTTAACTCTACACAGGACATTATTCTAGCATCTGCGTTTGTTGCCATTTTTTTGTCCAAAAGATGCCAAAAGTTGCCACAAAAATAGCAAAAGTTGCCATTCATTTTCAAGCTTTCAACTCTCTGTGACGACGTATAACAATATGTTGATAGAGATTTAACTTAATCTAAAGCATCAGAATTTCTTGTGCTCTATTTTTAGTTTCAAGCATCCAGAATATCATTTGTAGCCACACAGGGTGTAAAAACTTGAAAAAATAAAGGTTTCACAACAGAATGAAATCAAAATTAGAACAGCACATAAACAACCACAAAAACTAACCAATATTGTGTGCTTCCACCTTTCCTAAGATTGGCCGTTTTAACCCTAAACGTGCGTAATTCTAGAGAAAAAGTGCAAGATATTACATGCAACTTATAGAATCACACTCAAGGGGCCTTCCAGTGTCAGTATTCGGTTTTGGTGGAGACATGCTCTAACATAACAAATTTATACATATATACAGTCGTGGCAAAAAGTTTAAGATCACCCGATACTTTTTACATTTTAGCAATAAATTGAACATATTGTTCAGTTATTTTAAAAAACGCATGCTTTAACGGTTAAAAATGTTTATGATAAGCTGTTGTGGAATAGTTTTGATTAAAATTAGTACTTTGTGTGTCCACCTTTTACATGGATGACTACTTGAACAGGACACGGTGTGCTAGCATGCTTGACTGGTTTGCCAATATTCTTCTGGGGAAATTCCATGTGTCCACACTTCCTTGATTGTACTCCTTACGGCTTTTGCCCTTGGCCGCTGTTTGTTTAAGACCTTATTTTTCTTGAGGGACTTTTCAGCAGGATTGAGGTCAGGGCTATTTTCAAGCCACTGTAAGGTCGTGACCGTAACCCTTTAAAGGTATTATTGCACAGTCTTTTCTCTGCGGCATAGAGCGCCGTCGTGCATGGAAATTTTGCGCCCAAGAATGCGGATGTATATTTCCAATTTGTCCTGAAATAGTTCCAAAGTCTGTCCAGGTTTTAAAAAATATAACCCAGAGAGAATGAGAGAGAGAGAGTTTCAGACTTTGAAATTGAGACCCAGCTCATGACACTGTCCCCGTAGAATTATGCAAATTTAGAAGGCCAAATTATGCACACTAAAAGCAAAATTATGCAAGTTACCATAACACCTTTCGGGACATGTTTTGCACTTTTTCAACACGAAGTTTCATGATTTTCATGTTTTATGTACAGAAAAATTGAAAACAGAACATATCAGTATCAGTAATTTGTTGTGTATTTGAAAAAGAAAACAATGTACATCAGTGAAGAAAAAAAAAAAAAAAGAAAAAGAAAAAAACTACCAAAAATAATAATCTCTGTAACTTTCAGCTGTAGATCTAGATCTATAGAGGGAAGAAAATGTTTTTAAACAAAATTTTTAAAAGGACATCTGGACCTCTGATGCTGGCACATTACTAAAACCAGGGACATCTGTCAAACATGAAACAGCAGACATGAGAACAACTTTTGATGGATTGAAAAATTGAACATGCTCAAGGAACAAAATCACAACCCATGACTGTGACCAAGATCTTCTAACAAGGGAAATAACCAACTTTTCACTTAAATGAGACTTATTACGGTGATTACGTCCCTTTAGTCACATAGTGAGGTGTTAATTTTATTTTGTGGAGAGAAAAAAAAGGAAAAAAACGCGGAGAATCCAAAATTATGCAAATGTTGCAGAATTACGCGAAAAAACACGGCCGCACAATCGCATAATCCTACGGAGACAGATAACACTTGACAAAAGTTTCAGTGTCTGTATGGTATACTTTGCGCCGTATCTTTTCCCTGGTGGCCTCCTGACATGATGATACTGTTGAGCTACAAACTGCTGCAAAGTCAAATCATCTCAAAACATCACTTTGGTCCAATGATTTACAGTCCGGTGCTCATGGATTCTTGTAAACGCCAGCCACTTCTTTTTCATATCCACGGATTAGTCTTTGTTTACGGGCTGACGGGCTGGTAGATTTGAGCCCAAATTTTTCAGCCAACCGTTGTGAAACAATTCTGCGACTCACTTTGGAACCCTTTCGAAGAAAAGCAGGTCTGGGTTACTTGCAAAAACCTGTAGTTGAGTGGGGACAATGTTTTCATGAGGCAGTTATATCTGGGGGGGGGGGGGGGAGTTTTTCTGGGACGACCACTTCTCTTGTCACAATACGATCCATATAAGTTTGACAATTAACAAGAACACTGCAGATTGTGTCTTGCTGCACCCTAATTGGGATGAAATCTCTCGAAGATCCTTTCTTTGTGCTCGTTGAACATCAGAAAGTGAAGATTTTGTTCTTTTTTGTGGTATATTTATTGATCAAGAAAATATACTTTCAAACAGGCTCATAGCCTCCAAAGTACTTCACAGTAGAGACATCATGCTCTGGAAACATTCATTCTAAGCGCATGATGCAGTAGACCAGAAATAGTGAAAGTAATTTCAAAA